CCCGATGCGGGGCTCGATCCCAGGACCCTGGGATCATGACCTGAGCCACCCAGGCACCCCTTTTCCTACTTTCTAAAAGTTCTTACAGTTTTTGTGCAGTGTGGAGTTGGAAGGTTGCACTGATGTTCCCTTAGTCTAGAGTTTCGGTCCACAGCTAAGTAAGGGACAGGCTCTTCTTCCTCACTGTATTATTTCTCTGGTCTTTTGTTCCGTCCCTGCTGTTTGCTAATCCTTCAGCAAGCCACCGCCCTTCAGGAGGAGAAAGTGTTTGCCATGCTGTTCTAGGCCAGCTTTTTGCCTCCCCGTCAGCACAGTGTTCATAATCAGAGTAAGAACGACCTCTCTCAAGGTACTGCCTCAGAAATCATACTTCCTTTCATAACCCAAGAAGAGTTTTTTTCTCCCGGCAGGCATTCAGCATCCATCTTAAACTTATCCCACCTTATTAGAATCATCTCATTCCTGGGCTGTCTACCCCGCTGACATGTTAGCACCGTTAAGAGGACGCCTCCTCTGTGTACTCTGGGACTGGGACAGTCACTGGCACCTAGACAACACTTAGTGACTCAATGAGTTGAATGAATGAAGCCAGCCTGCCAGCCCACAGGAAGGAATACCTTACACTGTCCGTCCAACTCGAAAAGTGGAGGCCAGGTATTACCAGCATGGGCCGGACCCATGCTGTATTCGCGAGTTAGTAAAAATTGCTTCATTTTATGATTTGACAGATGCTTGAAAGAGTCATTTTCTGATATTTTTATACTTACATTTATATTTTTTTATTTTGTCAATGAGGTTTGATTTTAGAAACTGTTGTATAATATAGAGTATAAACTCTCTTTTTCCATGCCATTAAAGCATTCTATTTCAGAACCTAACTTTGAACATGAACCATACCTACACAAAAGTACATATCGAACGCATGGTTTTATATATTTATTTTTTTAAGTCTACAGTACCCTTTAAAAGGAACATTCGGGTATGGCTGTGCTTATTCTAAAGAGTCTTTTCTAAAGCTTACAATTATTATGAAGTTCACATTTTCCAGTATTTTCCAGTTTTATCTGTCTTATTAACACACCCCGAAGCACTTAGATAACCTTTTCTTTTAATGCTAATGTTATCTTGTGCAGCCTGCCTTGACGGCATATTTTTTTACTGATTGAAAGTTCAAATCTATGTTGAAGAATTGAATTTAGTAATACGAATTTGCTAACTAACATAAAAGAACACTAAAAAGTGTTTTAACATATTATGTAAATGTATTGAAGCATTTTAAACTTAACATCTGGTCAGCTATCACATCAGCCTAGCCCTGTTTGTTGTGGTTGAAGAAGATTGTTTTTAGGTGATGACTCAAAGCAGAGACATTTTTAGACATCTTAACTTCCTCTCCCTCTTCCTATTCCCAACTGTCCAAATTCAGGTGCACAGAATATGGAGACTCAAACCTTATAGCCAACAGGAAAGAGTCCCTCTTCGCCTTGTTTGTAATAATAATATATACTTCTGTAACTATATGTTCCAGAATGTAAGCTGTAGCTTTACTTTCCAGAATAAAACTAAAAAGATGAAATACAAGGGGTTTTCCCAGTGTAATGAAACAAAATTATCCTCAAAATAAATGGCAGTTAAGGAAAGCAGTTTTTGCTGTCATGGATAAAAGATAGAGAACACAAAATCAGCATTTGAAATATATTAACTCACAGTGTTTTAAATAAAAAGAAGCTAAAATGCATTGTATAGTACCTGTTCCCAAGGATGATTGCAGTTTCTTGTTATTAAGTCCTGCAAAATACATTATGTACTTAGCAGGCAGAACTATGAAAACCAGAGATGACAAAAGACACATTAGGTCAAATTTTAAAGTTTTTCTTCTTTTGGGGGGGGGGGGGCGGCGCCATTTTGCATTATTTAATCAGCTCAGCCTCTATGCAGCTGTTCCATCCCAAGTTCATGTTCACCGGCATGCAAAAGAAGATAAATCTTTGATATTTGAGGCAATAATGAAGATTAAAAGTCCCCAAACCTCTGCAGTTTACGTCATTCATCTGAAAACTTCTAGTGGGAAAGGCATGTATTAAGAATCAAAATTTCTTCCTCAGTCCATGATTGCCACTTAATAGCTCTGTCTCCAGAGCAAGTCACTTAATTTTTCTGAGCTTCTGTTTCTTCATTTGCTTTATGTAAATCACAGGTTGTGCTCAGTCCAAAGCATTCCAAAGAGGCTTCCTATGCTATGAAGTGTTTTACAAGTGTCGGGTAGGTCCTGTAATAATTCCCATTTTGCAGATGAGGAAGGGCTGAGAGAGGCTGCTGACAAGTTTGTTGAAGGTCACATGGCTGGCGAATTGAGATCTAGTTTTAAGATCCTGTGTCTATAACGTGGGTATTTTTCAGCATCAGTACTATTGACATTTTAGGACTGATAATTCTTTCTTGGGCGGCGGAGGGGGGCAGTCCTGTGCATCATAACATGTTTAGCAACACCCCTGGCTCTATCCCCTAGATGCCAACAGCATTCCCCAATTTATGATAACCAAAAATGTCCACAGACACTGCCACATGTCCCCTGGCAGGCAAAATCACCCCAAGTTGAGAACCACTGGCCTGTGTGATTCCAGAGCTAAAGTTATTAACCACTTGTATGATGACATTTATCAGTATTATCACTATTCTGAGTGGTTCCTGGTTGGAATACTCCAAGACATAGCAATTTTCGGAATTAAAAAGGAGATAACTGGTTTTCATCCATGGTTTCCCTGTTTCTGAATATGAACAGTGGCATTGTCTTCTTTGGAAGGTCCCCATGAACTGTTCTTACAGAGTCAGGGTCACCTGACGGAGACACTATCCACAGTGAGCCAGAAGTCAGACTGAACGACCTTCCCCTGTAATTCTGTGACCATCCCCTCAGGGGCCCCACTGTTGTCTCTTGAACTGCCCCTTCTCGTCTGGTAGATGCATGGGCTTCTGATATCAGCCGAGAGGCACGGAAGAGAAACACACGTATCTTCATAACCATGATCCCATTTAATCTTCACAGTAAGCCCTTGAAGTTTGTATCTGTTGTCTGCGTTTACATTTTGTTTAGGAATCTTAACCTTTCTTCCTTGCCTGCTCCTTCAACTTTGGTGTTCTCATTGCAGAACCTGATAAAGAAAACTCAGCAGGAAGCTGATATGGAAACTCAGGTGCCTTTCTCACCAGCACTGTATGAGGAGTAACATCCTTCTGAATTACTCAACATAAAGCAGATGCTTTCTGCCCTGCATGACTCTTCCTTTTTCCTTTCCCCTTAACAGGGATCATTAAATACATGCCTCCTTTGACTGCATTTGGGGACTTAAGAACCAACTGTCCAAGAGTAGAATGTATTTATTTCTGTTGCTCACTCTCCCGTCCCCCGTCCCCCCACCCACAACAAGGCCAAGCATGAGCTTGCCAGTCCTCCCACACTTCCCCATCTTTGTCGCTAATCTGCAGTCTGCTCTCTTCCTGATACAGGCACGCTTCCCAATTTATTATCACCTCTGAACTAAAACTTTCTTTTTTTTTTTTTTTAAAGATTTTATTTATTTATTTGAGACACAGAGAATGAGAGACAGAGAGCATGAGAGGGAGGAGGGTCAGAGGGAGAAGCAGACTCCCTGCCGAGCAGGGAGCCCGATGCGGGACTCGATCCTGGGACTCCAGGATCATGACCTGAGCCGAAGGCAGTCGCTTAACCAACTGAGCCACCCAGGCGCCCCTGAACTAAAACTTTCTAAACTTCTATGATTAGCTTTATTGTTTCTCTGTGGTTTAAAACTATTGGGTAAATAGATGCATTTGATCTGGGTCTCATTCAATTTGTAGGTAGACCTGTCTGAATTTTTTTACACACTAAGTTTTAAGATCAGTTGCTACTGACAAGCACAATAGATATAATTGAGTGTGATGAAAATCATTGGCATGACCTGAGGAGAGGCTAGCCGTGAGGAAATGGACTTGCCTGGGAATATTCAGGACTCGAAATTCTGCTCAAGGAAGGTCCGAAACAGTAGTTGGAACCAATGGAAAAGAGGACTGGATCACTTTACGGCAGTGCAACCTGAGTGTCAATTAAAACTTTTATTTATTTTTTTTTCTTTAAAGGGCATGTGAATCATGTTAATTACTACATGGTTCATTAAAAAAGGAGTAATTGGCTCCTGCTGTAAAATGGCAATGTCTGCCCCGACGAAGAGTCATTTTTCTTTCTTAGATCGGCTTGCATCCTTGTTGACCGGATTTACCTGATTATGATCTGTTGTGCATTTAGCCATTTCATCATGTTGTATAAGTAAAGCATCGTGGGTTTTCTTTGCTTCTCCAGGTGGCCTTTTTGAAGATGGAATCGTTGGAGCCGAGGCACCCTCTCCCTGGCAGGCAGCTCTCCAGGCCCGAGGCCAGCGTTCTGCATGGTGGGCAGTCATCACAGACACAAGAACCTGAGCTCCAGAATAAGAGCATTGCATGGAAGTTGTGAGTTGACTTGTTGGCATATTGTCTCTAAGAGAAGAGTTCACTTCAAATCTTTGAAGAACCAAGGCCACGAAGAAAGTTGTAGTCGCAGAGAAGTTATGTCTCTGTTTCCCACGGAGAGGAATATTCAAATATGTGGTGTGTCAGCAGCTCCTGGGAGGATATTCGCTCCTGGAGTCCCGTCTGTCCCTTGGGGGATGGAGTGAGGGACTCCGTTGGTGGAACTGAATGTTAACTGCTATACATCCAGGCAGATAGACTTATAAACTTCCCATTCGCTTTGCTGAAAACAAATTTTTGGAAAGAAAAATAGAGAATTTTGTATACCTTATTCAGAAGAGATGCTCTGTGAATAAATGTGTGTTGAATGAATGATTAACAAATTAAAGGTTTTCCTGGGTATGCAGACCTGCACTTGTTCCTTTTGTTCTTTATTTCCTTTACCAAATACTATTGCCTATCCACAAATAGACCTCGCCGGCCTCCCGTTACAGAAGTATCTTAGTCCCTGTGAGCCAGAGCAGATGGAGAGGAGACCATGGATGGAGAAGGACAGAGCTAGAGGGAATCCTACAGAGCACGGGTGAGCCGCTGATTTCACAGAGAAGGTTCGATCCTCGCCTGTTGTCACCGGCTCCGGGCAGAGCTGGGACGGGAGCCGGGGCCAGGCAGATCTCCTTTCCCACTCTGCGGTCAGGAGGACCATCTGCATGTAAACTGTACTGGCTGCTCATCCAGCCTGTTGGCGTTCATCTGAGCCTGCAGACCACCTAATACCTCTCTGCCCCAAATACTCGGGGTTTTACCTCCCCTTATTTCCTAACACTCAAAACACCGGTGTCCCTCAGCCTTGTGCTTTGGTGAACTTTTTGTTTCACCGAGACACTTGCCTGCCAGCATCGCAGCGTGGTGGGGCACTCCGAATCTGTCACCGGCAGACCGGCCGAGGAATAAAACCCATCTGTTTGACCCTGCAGAGTCCCTTTATTAAGCACAGTTGGAAACATGGAAGATCTCAGTGATATGTCCAAGACACGTGGCCAGAGACAAGAATTAGTTGGGCTTCTCGTAGGCTACTAAGCTCCCAAACAGCAAGCTGATTTTTTGTGCTTTAGGTTTCTAGCTGTCCGCATAGAGCAGGATATCTCAATGTTGGCACCATTTACATTTGGGGCCTGGTGATTGTTTGTCGTGGGAGACTGCCTGTGCTGTGGGGAGGAAAGATCTTTTTCCCTGTGCCTTCCTAGGTTCAATGGCTGCAGCTTACAAATCAAACTGATAAAAGATTAACAAGAAAAAAAAAAATTTAATTACATACATCCACACAGGAGTTTCACAAAGAAATGAGACTCAAAAGGAGGTGGTCAGATAATTGAGGTTTATATACCATCTTAGGCTAAACAAAGAAAAAAGAGTTTTGGGCTTCTTGGCAAGGGAGGCAAATTATAGGAAGGTAAGGGAAGGAAATGTATTGTAATAGGGTTGTCTTGTTAGGCAGATAAGAGTTGCTCAGATGATAAGAGTTGTCTCCCAGAGTAGCTCTTTTCCTGGTACAGAGACTTCTTTACAAATGGAAGTTTCCTTTATAAATGTAAATTTCATTTGCAAAAGAGGAAATTTGTACTTTGTTTTGAGGCAGTTACATGGAGGTAAAGAGCTTTTTCTGCCTCTGTCTTTAGCTCAAAATAATCCTTACGTCACAGCGGTGCATTTTGCAGGGACATAGTCCGGTACCCTTCAGTGCACTGAAGGATATTTAGCAGCATCCCTGGGCTCTACCCACCAGATTCCAGTTGTCCCCCTACCCCAGTTGTGATGACTAAAAACATCAGCAGACACTGCCCTGGTGTCCCAAATCGACCCCAGTGGAGAACCACTGCCTTAGAGAATGAAACAAAATTTGGTGGCTACGTATGTTTGTGTGTTGCCACTGACACAGCCATTACCAGATCTAGGTCTTTTGTGGCATGGGGTCTGGCCTTAGGGTACCACTGCTTCCACAGAGGAATGCGTTAATGATGAATACTTTTGTGTGTGAATATTTCTTAAGAGTTTCGTTTGTATTGTTGGAGACTGGAATCAACTCAGTGAAGCAGAATTCAGTCTGCGTGAAAGGGAAGTGTCTTCTGAGATGGCCTTTCTTCCTCTGGAGAAGAAAGCAGCTGTGACTGTGTGTTTGCATTTTAGATGGTGACTGTGCTCATGGGTCAGGACAACGCTACCACTCAACAAAACCCAGCAGAAGAGCGTTCTACTTTGCTAACCTTGTCTACGTGAAATCCAGTTGAGTCAAGTATGGTTAGACCCCTTCTCCTCGCTCTGAGTCTTAGGAGGAGCCAAGCCACAGAGAGCTAAGCACAGCTTCTTCCTGATGGCACAGGTGGGGAGCGGAGGCGGAGTGGCTGTGAGAAGCTCGGAGGGAGGGCAGGAGTCAGAGGAGGTCAGTCCGTTTCTCTCTCTCTCTCTCTCTCTCTCTCTCGCACACACACAAACACACACAGAGATTTCTTTCTGTAGACTGCAGTTACTGTGTGAAGTTGCATCTGTCATGCAACTTAAAATCTTGCCGTGGTGAGGTTCTCAAGCCCAGCAGGTCTCCACCGGCTGTCCCAGGGATGGGAAGGGAGGTGTGCCCCAAGGGAGCTGTTAACATCTAAGCACTGGGTAGGTCTGAGGGTAACGTGTAAACCTGTAAGAGTCTTCTTCTTTAGGGACACAGGGAGTGGGGAAAGGAGGGGAAAGGGAACCGTTTTATTTAACCTTTTCTCTTTGCTAAAAAGAAAAAATTGCTTCTCTCTCTCTGAGGAGGAGAGACAGAAATATCCAGCATTAAAGAGATTTAGTTACACCACATAAGGAGGGCTAGAGAGAATTGAAGCAGGCTGTACAAGCTCATTGTTGGCCCTTGGAAGTCATTCCACATTAGCCTCCTGTGTCTTATGAGTACAGTTCCGCTATCTATTCAGTAGCGGTCCTAGATAATGGTAACATAGAATTTCGATATACTATTAAGAGTTGCAAAAAAAAAAAAAAAATCAACCAGGGGTTAGCCAGCAAAAAGAGGAGAGGACATTGTGGGTAAAAAAATGTTCACTGTCATATCAAGTGAGTAATTCCACGCATGACCCTACGGATGGTCTTTAACATTAAGTACCTCATGCAGTGCTCTCCAGGACTTTGTGAGACAGGTGCTGGTATTTTCCCATTTTACAGATAGTTTTACCCTATCTGTACTTTACCCAGACAAGAGAGCCACTTGTGCAGTTTGCCTCAAATGGTCAGAGAACTCTGAGTAAGAAGCCTCTGGGTGAAAGAAGAACAAACGGAATAGATCTAATGAAGCAGGTTTTTTTCTTTTTTTTAAAGATTTTGTTTATTTATTTGACAGACACAGCGAGAGAGGGAACACAAGCAGGGGGAGCGGGAGAGGGAGAAGCAGGCTTCCCGCTGAGCAGGGAGCCCGATGTGGGGCTCGATCCCAGGACCCTGGGATCATGACCTGAGCCGAAAGCAGACGCTTAACGACTGAGCCACCCAGGCGCCCCATGAAGCAGGTTTTTTAAATAATTGGGAATAAGGCAAGAAACAGGGCAAGAAAAATACCATGTAGTATTTGAGAATGATTGAAGTTAAGGGAAGGTACAGGAAAAGTAAAAAAGAAATTAGAAACCCCAGAAATGGTAAAAATCCAAATGACAGTCAAAATAATAATAATAACAGGTACTGTTTATTGTTAGCCATATCCCAGGTCTTGCTCTATGTGCTTTCATGTATTATCTCCCTTTTAATCCTCAAAATAATCCTCTGAGGGAATTCTTATAATCCCTATCTTTATGTGAGGATGCTGAGGGGCCAGAGGGTAGGTGGATATTTCAGACACACAGTAAGAAGCAGAGCGGAGTTTGGAGCACAGGCACCTAATCGTTATTCCATTGACCCTCCTGGATACCAGTGATGGAATTAAAACAGTCAAGAAAGAAAGAGAAGGGGGGGCGGGAGGAAGGAAGGAAGGAGGGAGGAAGGAAGGGGCAAGAAAGAGGGAGAGAGGGAAAGAAAGAAGGAAAGGAAGAAAAAGAAAAGGAAAAGGAGGTTGACGAGGACCAGAGCCATATTAAAACACCAAATTTCCAATCCATTTTGGATATCTGAAAACTGCTGTAAATTAGTGTTTCTGTGAACTCATTCTTACCTGGTATAACAACAATAGATAGACACTGTTGAAAACTTCTACTGGCCACCCATTTTGGCAAACCAATCTCTAACAAGTTTGTTCATTTGATGTGTATTTATTGAAAACCTACTATATGCCAGGCATAGTTCTGAGTACTGCAGATAGGATCAAACAAAGTCCCTGCCCTCATGAGTTTACATTCTCATGAGGGAACAGACAAAAAAGAAATGTTGTATTTCTATGTGAGGTTAAATGCTAACAAGGTTAAATGGTTTTGTATGATGGATAAAGCCAGTCTAGTTGTTGTCCCTGGGACATTTGTTTTTGTCCTTAATGTATAACAAAAATTAGTTGGGACCCACATTTCATTATCATTCAGGAATGTAAGGATGACTATATCTTAGTCTGTAGTTAGAAAAGCATTAACATTTATCTTACACATCAGAGGGATGGTTCCCACTAATTGCTTATCTAAGAGTCCTACATCTTCTTAAATACTCAAGAGCACTCAGTGTGACATGACATAACAATTTCTCTTTGTTTGCCTCTTGAGATTCTTTAGGCTTTTATCTACTGAACCAGAGCTCATCATCATTCCTTAATCTGGGGGAAAAAGTGGGAGGGAGTTACATGGAAATAAGTTCTTTTAACAGGGTAACTTCCCTAGTTTTAAA